AGAACACTTGCCTTGCATGCTCAAGGCCCCGGGTTCGATTCCTCAGCACCACATAAGCAAAAAGAAAAAAGCTGGAAGTGGCGCTGTGGCTCAAGTAATAGAGCGCTAGCCTTGAGCTGAAGAGCTGAGGGACAGCGCCCAGGCCCAGAGTTCAGGCCCCACGACCTGACCCAAAAAAAAAAAAGAAAATGTCCTATTGAGAATTCAGGAGCCATAAAACTAGGATTTGTTTGTTTTTCACTTCTGTGCACTAAAGGCAAATACTAAGCTGTGAACCTGTATTTATGACCTATCATTTCCTAATTATGTTGCAGAACAGTTGTAGTTACCAGTAGTATGGCAGTGCCAGATTAATTATATCCATGTCTGAATTAGATAGAAGTGTTTCAAGATAATTCTGTTTTCTATCAGATACAATGGTAGAGGAGTATAAATGATATTTCATTGGTTTAATTTGCTTATTCTGCATTTTGTCTTTTATATGTTTCCTTTGTGTTTTTTGTTCATATATTTTTATTGATTTATTGTTTATTTATAGCTTGTGATTTAAGGTTTCTGGGCACGTAAGCCCAGAAATTGGAAGGCTGTCAGGAAGATATGAGTGTGTTTTGTTTTTACTTTTTTTGGTGCTGGGGCTTGAACCCAGGGCTTGAGCATTGTTCTTGAGCTTTTTGTTCATGGCTAGGACTCTACCACTAGAGCCACTGTTCTATTTCTGGCTTTTTTTGTCTTTAATTGGAGACAAGAGTCTCATAGACTTTTTGTTTGAGCTGGCTTTGAATTATGATCCTTAGATCTCAACTTCCTAAGAAACTAGGATTATAGGCCTGAGCCACTGATGAATGGCCTGAGGATCTTGGGCTACAGAGCAAGACCTTCAAAATCAGTTTTGGGTTTTGTGTATATGTGTCAATACTGGGGCTTAATCCCAGGGCCTGCATGCTGTTCCTTAGCTTTTTCCCAAGGCTGGGGCTCTAACACTTGAGCCACAGCCCCACTTTCCGCTTTTTGATCCACTGAGTAGCTAGGATTACAGATGTGAGCCACCAGCGCCTGGCTTGTTTTGTTTGTTTATTTGTTTGTTTTTGTTGGGGCTTGGCTTTGAACCATGATCCTCATATCTGAGGCTCCTGAGTAGCTAGGAACCACCAGCACTTGGCTTGCTTGTTTGTTTTTGCAACAGGGTCTTACTATTCCACTCTGGCCTAGACTGTTGATACTCCTTCCTCTGCTGACAGTAGTTTTTTGCCTTTTGTTAGTGAGTAGTATTTCATGGCACCATTATGCTACAGTTTTATTTATCTTTTTCTTTTGAAAGACATCTGTTTCTTTCAGTTTTTGGCTATCATGACTAAAGCTACTCTTAAGCCTTATATAGGTTACACACACACACACACACACACACACTTGCACACGCACACACATACACACAGAATACGTGTCAAAGAGTATCATCATTGTTACTTTTGTTGTTTCTTTTTGGTTTTTGTTTTTGAAGGAATGTCATTTTAGGCCAGGGTGGCCTCTAACTGGAGAGCCTTCTTTTTTTTTTTTTTCCCCGGTCATGGGGCTTGAACTCTGGGCCTGGGTGCTGTCCCTCAGCATTTCAGCTCAAGGCAAGCTCTCTACCACTTGTGCTATAGCCACTTTTGGTTTTTTAGTTTATTGGAGATAGGAGTCTCATGGTCTTTCATGCCCGGGCTGGCTTTGAACCGTGATCCTCAGATCCCAGCCTCCTGAGTAGCTAGGATTACAGGTGTGAGCCACTGGCTCCTGGCTGAAGAGCCTTCTTTTTAGTGCTGGAATTACAGGCCTAAAACATAATACCTAGCCTCATTGTTTTTGTTTTTGTTTTCTTTTGTTGTTATTTTCGTCAGTCCTGGGGCTTGAGTGCTGTCCCTGAGCTCTTTTGCTCACAGATAACACTACCATTTTGAGCCATAACACCACTTCTGTTTTTCTTTTGGTTAATTGTATGTAAGAGTCTGAATAGATTTTCTTGCCCAGGCTGGCTTTGAACCGTGATCCTCTGATCTCAGCCTCTGGAATAGGTAGGATTACAGGCATGAGCTACCAGCTCCTGGCTAGCCTAGATTGCTTTAATTACTATATAGTATTTCATTATTTGGTTGTACCATCTAGTAATATTTGTCTTATATGCATAGGCATTTAGGTTGTCTATATACTATTTGAAGCAATGTGTTAGTCTGGAGGTGTAGGTGATGTGTAGCTCAGTGATTGAAAGCTTGCTTTGCATGCTTGAGCCCCGTAGTTTGATCCAGAGTTGATGTAAAGTTTTATTAGTACTCAGGGAATGGCTATAATAGTAGAGCATTTGACCAACATGGGGCTCTGCAAAGCAATGACAAAATGTTAATAGCTATCTTAAAAATGAGTCATTTTGCACATACATGCATAGTCCTAGAAATAGAATTGCTTAGTGCAAAGCAGTGATTATTCTTTAGGTGAGTACTGCCTGATTATTTTCAAGAGAAAATGTATCAGTTTCTATTCTTAGCATCTTTTTTCTCACACTAATATGTTAACAATTCTTTTTACCTTTGAGTCCTTATAGACTTTTTTTTTTTTTTGGGTCCCGTCGTGGGGCCTGAACTCTGGGCCTGGGCGCTGTCCCTCAGCTCTTCAGCTCAGGGCTAGCGCTCTACCACTTGAGCCACAACGCCACTTCTGGCTTTTTTTTCATTTTGCTTATGTGGTGCTGAGGAATCGAACCCAGGGCCTCATGCATGCAAGGCAAGTGCTCTACCACTGAGCCACCTTCCCATCCCCTTGAATAATAATTTTTACTCATTGTTGATTTGATTTAACATGTAACTATTATTAGGTGCTAAATTTCCATATGTGGCCAGAGTGTTTGTAGCTTTATGCTTGTTCCTATGTCGGTAATTAGCTATCTTAATTTTTATCTCTTGATGGTACTATTGTTTGAATACTTACTAGTTGAATCTTTATCACTTGAGCCACAACACCAGCAATTTTTCTTTTTTCAGATTTATGAGTGTGATAATCTTTAATATCTCTTTGATTTATGCTCTTTGTTTGGAACATTATTTTGTCTCATGTGTCACTTTTTCTTCCAGATTAAATGTTTTAATTTTATAGATTTAAGAATGTGTTAGCTGGGTAACAGTGGCTCAGACTTATAATTCTAGCTGCTTAGGAGGCTGAGATCTGAGGATCGAGGTTCAAAACCAGTGCAGAAAAGTCCATGAGATTCTTATCTCCAGTTAACCACCAAAAAGCTGCAAGTAGAAATATGGCTCAAGTAGTAGAGCTCTGGCCTTGACTGGAAAAGCCAGAGTGCAGTCAGGTGAATATTGAAAGGGGTGACACTGATTAAGATCTGTTGTATTCATTTGTTATTTAAGAACTCCTTTCTGTACACTCTTCAAGATAATAATAAAAGATGTTTAATCAGTTCATGTCCCAGGACTCTTGTCTAGTATTTACACATACACAGTTTTTATTTTTGTATATTTCAAAAAATTAATTGGAATTAAGGTGAAGTAAGTTATCATACCTATGCTGAGTGACATGTAGTGTAATGTATTTAGATTGCATACAATTTTATTATAGTAATTAATGCTACAATTATTCTTGAAATTTTTACTGTGTTTAGGATTATATACTTTTTTCCCTCTAGGGCTAGGGATTAAACTCGGGGCATGCTAGGCAATCATATACTTCTGTGCTACATCTCCAGCCCTCACTAGTAATAGTTACATCAATATTTATACAATATTTATTTTTGTTACCTTTTTAGGTTTGTAGTGATCAACCCTCACTAAAAGAAGAATGTAAAAGTGGCCAAAAACGGGCACCTGAAGATGAGCCACCCACAGTCTCTGAATATTACTTTGGTGATATTTTCATTGAAATGGATGAAATAGTATAAAATAATTGTTTTTGTTTTTTCTTTCTTTTTTAAGCTTGGGAGTTTTAAAGTCAATATTAATGCAGTATTGAGAAAAACATATCATTGTCTATTTTAACTTAGGTCAATTTTGAATATTTAATAAGCTTCATTGGAAGCTTTTGTAATCATTGAAAAATATTGCTGAAGTTTATTTTGATTGATTCAGCATTTTGGAAATTAGCAAGTAATGAAGACAGCTGTTTTTGCCGGGCATAGTTGGCTCATGCCTGTAAGCCTAGCTACTCAGGAGGCTGCAATTTGAGGATCACAGTTCAAAGCCAGCCTGGGCAGGAAAGTGAGATTCTTTATCTCCAATTAAGCACCAAAAAAGCCAAAAGTGGAGCTGTGGCTCAAGTGGTAGAGGCTAGCCTTGAGCAGAAAAAGCTCAGGGACAGTGCCCGGGCCCAGAATTCAAGCCTCAGGACCAGCACCAAAAAATGGAAAAAAAAAAAAAAAGGAAAAGCAAAAAAGAAAGAAAGACAAAGACTGCTTTTTTAGACAGAAATAGCAACTCTTGTTTACATTTTGACTCTTCCTATGGAGCATATGGACCTATGGGAATGTTGTGAATAAGTGTATACATCACAGCCCTGACATATTTGGCATTTGATTGTATTTAACATATAGTGAACTTCTTTTGTAAAGTGTTTTTGTTTTTGTTTTGTTTGTTTTAGTCTTTCTTTTTTTGGTACTGGGGATCAAACCCAGGACGTTGCACTTGCTAGGCAAGCGCTTTGCCACTGAGCTACATCCCAGTAATTTGCTTTCTGGAGATATATTGAAGGCCTTTTAAGTTGCCTGTACTGACAGAAAAGCAGATTGAAACTCCATTTTAGCATGGTAAAGTTAGAAACTTTCCGGTTATCTATATTTGTGTATTTTTCTAATTCCTGGTAATATAACATTACTAACTGGAGAGGTAGTACTTAAATTTATTTATAAAGATAGCACATCAAAGAGCTATATTTATTTAAATTTTTCTTATTTTAAAGGATGTTTTAATTTTCACCTTTGATTGTTGGTAAAGAAGTATAAACAAATTTATGTCTGTCTCCTTTTCCTTTGTTTAATTTTAAAGATAATTAAAATGAGCCAGGTGCTGGTGGCTCACACCTATAACCCTAGCTACTCAGGATGCTGAGATCTGAGGATCATGGTTTGAAGCCAGCCCAGGCAGGAAAGTCTGTGAGACTCTTATCTCCAATTAAACCAACAAAAAGCTAGAAGTGGAGCTGTGGCTCAAGTGGTAGAGTGCTAGCCTTGAGCACAAAAGCTCAGGGACAGTGCTCAGGTTCTGAGTTCAAGCCCCAGGGCTGGCACCAAAAAAAAAAAAAAAAGACTTCATAATGTCAGTGATTATCATTAGTATGAGTTCAAGTGTTTAGTAATTTTGAGATTTGCTGATTTACATATATAATCTATGTGTGTACATATAGATGTATGACATTTGCCCAAGTAAATTTTTCAGTTCAAATGAAAATTTCTCAAAGAGCATATTTATTTTGATTTTAGTTCAAAAATCCTTTGATAAATTAGTTTGGGAGTTGGATACTTTTTTTTCTGAAACATTCTTTGGGATAGTAGACCCAGTAATCTACTGCTGGGACAGTCCTTTAGTCACATGTGAGAGCAGTCAGAGTACTTCATTGAAGAGTGACACCTGGGTTGTATGTTGAATTTGATTCCTACCTTTAACAGTAGTTTTTTACCTCAAGGTGCTGATGTATTTTTTTTATGAGTACTTGACATGGAAGCTGTCAGGTGTGCCTAAAAACTGCGTATAATGCATTATGAAACCATCAGTATTTCAATTGGGAAAACATTTTAAACTCTAGGTAATTTTAGTGTTTGTATATTGAAAAAGTGGTGGCCAGTTTTCAAGTTCTTTAATAAAAGGGATATGGCTCAGCAGATATAATAGTGATGGTAATTTGTTGAAATCTGGGATTAGAGCATTTCTTACTGATTGCCTTCTAGTGAAATATAGGTGTTTGGTTTTTTTTTTTTTTTTGTCATGAAGGGGAAACATAAATCTGAGTGGAAATTATAAATTTACATTTATCTCATATGACTTCTGTCATAAAAATCATGATAGTAAATCAGTTTGCTATTTTAATACTGTTTCGTAAAATTAAAAAAACTTCATGTTCTTATTATATTAGTAATGTTAGTTTAATATTAGGTTGTTATGACTATTGTTTATCCCTTTATAGTATTTATTTCTTGTCTTTGTTAACATGTGTCTCTTGTTCATATACAATAAACCAATTTTCAGGAAGATGCAATTTCTTACTGTATAAAAAATACAAGGCCATTCAATGTGTGGAGAATCAGTTAGTCAATAGATTTTCCTATTGTTAGATCCATAAAACAGATCTTGTGAGAAAGAGAAGCTACCTTGCCAGGTAGAAAAGTCTGTTAAGTCCAATTGATGTAAGGCAAATGTTGCAACGAATTTATTTTATAAGTCTTAAAGAGATGTGATTTAAAGTCTTCATCTTTTTTTGTCCTTCCCTCCTGAACACTTAGATCTTAGCAAGTGGTTTAGAAGTTCATAATTGTTGATAAGTGATTGATGCACAGATGAAAAGATTTGTATCTACTGTTTACCACCTTATTAACTAGAAATGGCCACGTATATTAATAGTTTGCTTGAAGACATCTTTGACAAAAGAAGCAATATGTCATTTGTAAATTTTCTTGTTCTAAAGAAAGCAGTTATGTTCTATAGATATAAATTATGTAAATAAAAGTTATTTTATACTGTTTATTGTGTCCTTTTTAAGTGACTGAAAACTGAAGGGTTTTTTTGGGGTGAGTGGGGGGCAGTCCAGAGTTTGAACTCAGGGCTTGGGCACTGTCCCTAAGCTTCTTTTGCTCAAGCTAGCACTCTACCACTAAGCCTCCTTCCCAGCCTGAAGGTATTTTTGTTCAGTTAACTGGTAGCTGTTTTAATGTGTAGTCTATATTTTTAACAAAAAGAGAGTATAACTGGAAGAATTAAATTTTACTAAATTCTTATTATGAATAAATTTTGATTTTGCAAAAATAAGAAGTGACTTCTTTATACATTTGAAATATTGCTTGCTTTTTGTTTTTTCAACCCTTATGTAATGAATTTTTTTGTGGGGGGGGTCACTCTTCAGCCTCAAGGCTAATGCTTTACAACTTTTGAGTCACAGCGTCACTCCTGGTTTTCTGGTGGTTAATTGGAAATGAGAGTCTCATGGACTTTCCTGCCCTGCCTGGCTTTGAACTGGGATCCTCAGCCACCTGAGTACCTAAGATTACAGGTCTGAGCCACCTGCACTAGGCTGTAATGAATTTTTATATATAAGAACCAAGCATAGTCTGGCACCAATGGCTCATGCGTATACTATTAGCTACTTGGTCTGAGGTATGAGGATTGCAGTTTGACTGCCAATTTGGTCAAAAAAGTCTCCTGTAAGACTCATATTCAATTTACAATAAAAAAGATCCAGAGCCAGGCACTGGTGGCTTATGCTTGTAGTCCTAGCTACTTTGGGTGGGGGGAGAGGGGGAGAGAGGCTGAGATCTTAGGATCAGAGCAAAGACCTGGTAGGAAAGTCTGTGAGACTTTTTTTTTTTTTTTTTGGGTCTGGTCATGGGGCCTGAATTCTGGGCCTGGGCGCTGTCCCTCAGCTCTTCAGCTCAAGGCTAGTGCTCTACCACTTGAGTCACAGCACCACTTCTGGCTTTTTCTGCTTATATGGTGCTGAGGAATCGAACCAGGCAGGGCCTCATGCATGCAAGGCAAGGGGTCTACCACTGAGCCACCTTCCCAGCCCTTCCGTGAGACTCTTATCACCAATTAACCACCAAGAAAATCAGAAGTGGTGCTGTGCCTCAAGTGGTAGAGCTCTAGCCTTGAGCTGAAGAGCTGAGGGACAGGGCCCAGGCCCAGAGTTCAAGCCCTGAAGTTGGGCGAGAAGGGGGAGGAAAGGGAAAAAGCCAGAAAGTCAGTCACTGGTGGCTCACATCTGTAGTCCTAGCTACATAGAGAGGAATGAGTTCTGAGGATCATGGTCCAAAGCCAGCCCAGGCAGGAAAGTCTGTGAGACTCCTCTCCAGTCAACCACCATAAATCCGGAAGTGATGCTGTGTCTTAAATGGTAGAGTGCTTGCCTTGAGCTGAAGAGCTGAGGGACAGTGCCCAGGTCCAGAGTTCAAGCCCCAGTACTGAACCACCCCCCCCAAAAGAAACACAACAAAACAACAAAAAACTCTTTATAAAAGTCTGAAGTGGAAGTTTGGCTCAAGTGATAAAGCACCAGCCTTGAGTGTTAGAAGCCAAATTAGAGTGCAAATCCCTAAGTTCAAGTCCTGTTATAACAGACAATCATGTGCATGACCTCCAAACTGCCCTCCCCATAGCACCTTGTTTTTTCTGTCACGTGGGAAACTATTCCTGTATACAACATAAAATTGGATTTCTGAAATGTCTGTTGGCAAAGTATCGGCCATTTCCCCCCAGAACACTTTATGTATCTCATATCACCAGGGGTATGCCAGCAAGCCCAGCAGTTGACCAAACTTTTTTGCTGAGAGGGGTATTTTGTAGAAACCTTTCTACAACATAGTTATTCTTTCCTTTTTCTGAGTCCGTTTTGGGTCTTGAACTGAAAGGTTAAAGTTTGAGGCAGTGAACACCACGTGTTGCTTGTTTCTGTCTAGCAAAGCAACACGTGGTGGTAATCAAAATACCTGGTTGATTGTGTGCCTATATAAGACCTGCAGCAGAATCCTTAGCTCCGGGCTCTCCTCCTAGGCTCTACTGTGTCGGAGTGTAGGACGAGGCCGGAGCTGCAGCCCGTTTAAAATAAAACAGCTGTAGAGTCTGACTCTCGGTGGTCTTCTTGAGAGGGGCGGGGGGGGGGGTCCTGCGACCTTGGCATAACAGAACTTAGGCCATGTACATTGTCCCTGAGGGCCCCCTCCCCCCGCCAGCCTTACACTTGAGTTGTGCTCCATTTCCACGTGTGGTGTTTTTGGGGGGCGTGGGGATGGGGGATCGGTTGTGAGGTTTGAATTCAGAGCCTAGGCCCTTTACCTGAAATTTTGTCGAAGGCTGGCCCTCTACCCCTTGAGCCCCAGCTCCACTTGTAGCTTTTTGGTAGTTAGTTGGAGAGAAGTCTTACATACTTTACTGTCCTGGTTGGCTTTGATCTGCAGTCCTCAAATCAGCCTCCTGAGTAGCTAGGATTACAGGTGTGAGCCACCAGTACCTGGCTATTTATCACATATTTGAAATAATCATTTGAGATCTCCAGAGAAGCTGGAGGTGTGGCTCAACTAATAGCTTTTCTGCCTAGTAAATGCAAGGCAGCCCCTCACCCGAAAAGAGGAAGGTACTAGGGCGCTAAGAAGGAAAAGTTGTCCAGTGTTTACTGTGTATTGTTTAGGTATCACAATGTATCCCCCTTGAACTCTTGATGCATGCTAATTAAAAACAAAATCTCCAGTGAAGGTGCTAGAAGCTTCCCGTGCTGTCTCTATTTTCATGATAGATGAGATATGATATACAACTTTGTCCTCAATACAACCACTGCGGAGAATGTACTGATCCGTAAGTGAGATACTACTGCCATCACAAAGGGCTGCAGCGCTTCTAATTATGCATAGCAGCAGCTTAATACCTCGGGCTAGGGGTCCCGGGACTCAGGAGGAAATCGGACCTCGCGAGGCTGCGCCTCTCCTCTTACTGGCTGGATTGGGAGGAGTGGCATGCCCCACTGACCAATGGGAGGCTGCGAGCGCAGGCACGTGCGGGGTTGCGTGGACAACACGCCAGTACAGTAAGAAATCAAGTTTGGAACAGGTGCTCCGCGAAGGCCCGACCCCGGAAGTTGCGGGTTGCCCACGCCGTAGTCGTGAACTCTGCTCCGGAAGACGCGGCCGCTCACGTTCTCCGGAGCTCGCGTCTGGAAGGCACGAGTGGCTCACCGTCTCTGGAACTGTACTCCGGCCGGCCTGCCATGTGGGCCGCCTTGAGGCTTGCCCAGCGGCCCCGCCTCCATGCCGCTGCCCGCAGGCTGCGCTCCTACCACGGGGATGCGGTGGCCTCGCTGGCCACCCGGCTGGACTCGGACTCCGCGCTGTACCGGGTAGGCTGGGTGCGCGCCGGGCGGGGCCTGCCCGCCGCCGCCCGGCCGCCGGTGGGGCCTGGGCACCGGCTGGGCTCGGAAGCAGCCCGAGGAAGGGCTTACCTATTAATTACCTTGCGAGTGTGTGGCGGCCGTGGGGCTGGTCCCATTAGCCTCTTGGCCCTTAGCGGGCGCTCTACCGCGTCGGTCACACCTCCTCTTTCGTCTAATTGGATGAGTCTCCCGAACTTTCCCACCCGGCTGGCTTTGAACCGCCATCCTCAGATCTCACTCCTCCTGTGTAGTTAGGATGTTCAGGCGGGAGCCATTGGCGACTGGCGGGTGGAGTAGTTAGGATTACGGGCATCAGCCACCTGTGTTCGCATGCTGTGAAGTTTTTAGGAGACAAGTATTCCATTTACAATTGAGTGTACTTTTAGAACTAGCGTTATACTTTGTGTCTTTGAAATCAGTGGTTTCCAGCCTAGTGCTAGTTTGTCTCATCTACTTTGGAAGTTGAATTGGAGAGTCAAAGTTTAAAGCCAGCCCCCCGCAGCAAAAATCAGGAGAATCTTATTTCAAATTAACCAGTTAGTCAGAAGTGAAGTGCCTCAAGTGGTAGAGTGCCAAGATAGAGGGCAAAGTCCTGAGTTCAGGCCCAGTACAAGCAGTCTCCCCCCACCCCAAAGAAACAAAAACCAGTAGTTCTCAAAATCTGTTAGCATTGTCACCTGGGGAGCTTATTGAATATGCAGCTGTCTTAGCCACACTGTATTTTCTGGCTCTGTAGAACTAGAACTTGGTGTTTACCTTGTTAAACAGTTTCCTTGGGGGGCTAGAGGCGCCAACTTTGGGAACCATCAGCCTAGTTCATACTAGGTTGTGCTTACCAAACTTTAATTAAAAAATAATAGATGGGGTTGGAGGTGTAACTTAGGTGGTAAGGGTCAACCAATGAGTGAAAATGTGAGGTACCTAGTTTGAGTCCCAGTCTGAAGGGGTGGGGAGATATTAAAATGTCTGTTCCACAGGACTTGTTGGAATAGTGCAGTTTCACAAGGTCAAAGGCAGCTTACAGATTGTGAAATGAGAGCTAGAAAATTTCAGACTGTCTGCAGATAATATCTAAGTTTTGCAAACAGTACAGTAATTTGAGAACGTTTGACTCAAACAGCTTATACACTAGTTGCTTTAATTCCTATTTTAGCTATTCGGTATAGATATGTAAGAATGGCGCTTACAATTTTTCTGGGGAAAATGACAGTGAAACAATAGCTCCACGTGGTAAGAGGCATCTAAAGCTTGAAAAGGTGGCAATTAGAAAGCTATAAGTAGGCTGTAATGGGTGAGAGGATCTTGGTTGGAAAAGAGGTGTCCAAGTTCAGGGTACAGGATGGAAGTAAGACAAGAAATCAAGAGAAGTACAAGAAAATGAATATACACCTACTTAGGTTATTAAACTACATACACTATTGGTGATATAACAGTGTTAGTGTTTGCTTAGCATGCCCAAGGCCCTGGATTTGATGTCCAGCACCACAAAACAAATATTGAAGTGTATAAAATGGACATGATGGTGGGTGCCTATAGTTACAGCAGTGGAGAGATAGACATAGGAGGATCTTTTAAGCCTAGGAGGTTGAGGAAAACCTGAGCAACATACCAAACCTCCATTTTAAAAATAGTTTATAGTGAGTATGAGGACTTGGACTGGGCACAGAATTCATGGAATAGTGTCTAGGTGGGATGCATGAGGGGGCAGATACAGGAGCGCCTTGCATGCAAAAGTGGTATTTAGATTGAGGATTCTTTACATAGAGAAGTGGCATGTTCCTTAGATATGGTGGCAAGTGGACAATGGATTGGGGGAGAGAGGAGACTAAAGTTAGGTGGCAGGTTGTAGGACTTGAGTCTTGAGATTATACCGCTTGGAGTTAGGCTGGTCAGTCGGAGGAGTAGGAATTAATGACTGAAAGAGGGAGGGAAGAACTGGATTGATAGATGATCATGAGGTTCCAAACTGGGAATGACAGTGACGTAAAGGATAGTCCCAAAGATAGGTACAGAGAAATTGATGGGACCATACAGAAGAGAGAGAAGTTGTTTGTGAATTGAGTCAAATTTTATTAGGAGAGTCTTTGTAACAAGCTAAAAACTCACCTGTCAGTTATACTCACCTGTGTTACTTTTATGTGTTAGAGACTTAGGTCAGCTATATGACTCATCAGAGGGCAAAATTACAACAGTTAAACTCTAGATCAGCGAGTGACTTGTCAAAGGACCAATTTAGAACAGTTATATCTCTTAAAGACTTGGTTCTGAGCTGGATGCGGCGGCTCATGCCTGTAATCCTAGCTACTCAGGAGTCTGAGATTTGAGGATTGAGGTTCAAAGCCAGCTGGGGCAGGAAAGTCCATGAGACTCTTATTTCCAATAAACCACCAGAAAACCAGAAGTGGCACTGTGTCTCAAGTGGTAAAGTGCTTGAGCTGAAGATCTGAGGGACAGGGCCCAGGCCCATAGTTCAAACCCCACAACAGACCAAAAAAAAAAAAAAATCCAACCTGGATAGAAACTCTATTTCCAAAACTAGTAAAAAGCAGTGTTAGCCAAGCAAAACAAGCCAAATGAGCACAAGGGCCTGCGTTTAAACCCGTTTGTATGTTTGGCAAACAGCATCAGAGGATATTACTGGAAAAAAAAAGAAGGCTTGGTTCTGTAAGGTCTGCTTGAGGCAATCTCAGGTCTACTGTACTTGTTTCTTATTCTCGGAATCAAATTGAAAGGGGGAGGGGAGAGGTGCTCTTTGTAGAGGAAGGCAAAGTCAAACAGAGTCTTGACACATTTGTTTCCTCTTAAAGCTTTTGCTTGGAGCTCTATCAGACATTAGAAGAAAGGTAAGATTCTGAGAGATGGACCATAGTGGGGTGGGGAGTTGGTAAAGAGATCAATAAAAGATGGGCAAGAATTAGTCTTTTCTACATGATGGAGCATCCCAATGTGGAGGCCACATGGTTGGGGGTGGCTATGGATGTGGCTCACCCAGACATGGCACAGATTGGTGTGTTTCTTTCCCTCCATCTCTAATTTCCTTCCTCCATCACTCTTTTCCTCCCATTCTTCCTGACTCCCTTCCCTTTCCTGCCTTTTTTTTTTTTGTTCTTTCCTTTAGTGCTGGAGGTAGAATCTGGAGCCTTGACATGCGGTGCAAGTGCTCTGCCACAGAGCCATCCTTGGCTTGTTTCTTGACCTTTATTTTGGTGTTGCTTTCTAGAGGTTCTGTTTTCCTTCCCTCTGTTGTAGGAGAACTATGAGCAGATGAAAGCACTAGTGACTCAACTCCACGAACGCGCCCAGTATATTCGACTAGGTGAGCACAGCATTCTCCACTATATGCTTTTAAATTAAGCTATTCCTTGCAGTACTTGTTTTAGGAAAAACTGGTAGCATTAAGCTTTTGATTCTTAAATATTTTAGTTTTAGTTAGTACAATCAATCCTTAGTGTCTGTCTATGGAAGATTCTCAAGATAGCTTGCCCCTGATCAAGGTTTTTTATATAAAATGATAGTGTTTCCATGTAGCTTATACACATTCTCCTGCATACTTTTTCTGTGTGTTTGTGCCAGTTCTTGGGTTTGAACTCAGTGCCTGGGCATTGTCCCTTAGCCTTTTTTGTTCAACACTGACATTCTATCACTTGAGCCAGAGCTCTACTATAGGCTTTTTGCTGCTTAATTGAAGTCTTATTGAACTTTTCAGAGTGGGCTGGCTTTGAACTGTGATCCTCAGATCAGCCTCCTGAGTAGCCAGGAACACAAGTGTGCTGTATTTTAAGAACCTAAGGTAGAAAGAGCTACATTAAGTGTATAGCCTTCATCTTAAAAAGCAAACATCTCCTTACCTTGTACAACCATTTAAAGATAGATTAGATATCTTGACAGATAGAAAGGGAGCAGTTACTACTGTATAAATAACATCTTTGCTTCAACTGTCCCCATTCTAGGTTTTCTGTTTGTGTCATGGTAACTTTTAGAATTTTCATTAATTTCATTAATTTTTGGCTAAATTACTACAGTAAAAAAAGAGACTGAGATATTCTTTTTCCCTATTCTAAATAATCTATTAAATTCAAAAGACTGAAGTATATGTTTAAGAGATACCAACCTCACTTCAGTTCAAATATGAAATTTAAGTATGGACTAAAAATTTACTAGAAAATTACTGGAGTAATATATGATTTAACTACAATTCGTTGGTATTAAAATAAAAAGCCAGTCCAGATCATTCTCAAAAGACTGAGCTTCCTCCTTAATATTCTCCCCTAATGAACAGGCTTTTTTTTTTTTTTTTTTTTAATGTGGAGCTTGAACTCTGGACCTGGGCCTGGACACTGTCCCTCAGCTTTTCAGCTCAATGCTAGCTCTCCACCATTTGAGCCACAGCTCCACTTCTGGCTTTTGATGTTTATATGGTGCTGAGGAATTGAATCCAGGGCCTCATGCATGCTAGGCAAGCACTCTACCACTGAGCCACCTTCCCAGCCCCCATAGGCAGCTTTAGATGACCTGTCACTAATCAGTTACCTTTTTAAAAAGTCCTCAGAGAAGAAGAGTAATAGAGATTTTCATTTTTGTAAGGGGAGCCTGTCCTGTATATATGCAATTAGGAAAGTAACAATACTCCTTTTTTTGGTTGGCCATGGGGCCTGACCTCTAGGCCTGGCCACAGTGCCGTTTCTGGCTTTTTTTGCTTATGTGATGCTAAGGAATTCAAGCATTCTACCACTGAGCCACCTTCCGAGCCCAAAATAAAAATACTCTTATACCAGGTTTATAAATTTTAAATTATAAACACAGGTGTCCTAGGTAGTCTTCAGACAGAATGAAGGAGTGGGTGTTTCAGAAGGAAACTTTGAAGTTTTTTACTGGAGAGAACTTGGGATAAAAAGGTTAACAATAATTAAGGTGACTCTTGTCCTCTTCTATGTTATTTCTTTTGTTACTCTTCATTGCCTTTGGTTTAGGTTTCTTCTAGCCCTCTGTGATCTTTGATCTCCTTTGTCCCTATTTGAACAGGTGGAATTACAAGAGGAGTGAAGTCATTTCTGTAGATGGGAAGAGGATTATCCCTGAAGTGGCATTTATAATAGCCAGTGCTAAGGATTTTGATTAATACGAGTTAATTTATCAACACACAAGGCTGTGTTTTGATAAACTCATAAGTGCTTTGTTTATATTTGACTAATAACTTTATGGACAGAAAAGAAATACACATGGTTTTGGTGGAAGAAGCAGGGGGCTTTCAGTGACCCAGAGATAAGTCTGTGTAGTCTTTTGGGAGACATTTTAAAATGGAATACAAAGTTTGTATGCACACATAGCACAGTAGAAGTATCACCAAGGCCATAGTGCAGCCAAGGCCTACAGCTGGGAGGTGACTTCCTCTACTTCCTGATTTTAGGGATTCTAAAATGTGAACATAATTAAGAATTGATGCAATGAAGTAAATGTGATGGTTTAATGGAAATGAAGGCTTAAGACAGATGACAGACTTCCCTGGCACAATGTCTTTGGGAATGGAAATAATGTGTTTCAGAACAACTTTGAATAAAGTGCTCTCTCATGCTATGTGTGGTGGTCCAAATTTTCTGTCAGTTTAAATAGCAGGGGAGCTTCATTCGGTGCCAAGTCTGCATCAAAGAAAAGCCACCTTTTACTTCTTCCTATGAAAGTGAATTCACTAGCTGCTCCAGCTTATACTGTCAATCTCCTGGCAGGACTAAGAAAGAATGATATTGTCTTAAATCTTCCCTCTCCCTTTTCATCTCTTCCTATCAAAGACCCTTGACCAGGCATGACTTCCTTTGTAGTGCCTTAGCTGCTGTTGCTGCTCCTCTTCTTCCCCCTCCCCCTCCCCCTCCTCCCCCTTTTCTTCCTCCTCCTCCTTCCCTTCCCTTCCTCCTTTTCCTTCCCTTCTTTCCCCTCTTCCTTCTGTGTTGAACTCTGGGGCCTTGGACTCAGTTTTTAGGGGTGTTCCTTAACTACTTGAGCTGAACCTCCAGTCCTGAATTTTAGTGGTTAATTGGAGATAGGATCTTGAGGACTTTTCTTCTAGGATTGGCTTTGAACCATAACTTCCAGATCTCAGCCTCCTGAATAGGATTATGGTATGAGCCACCAGTGCCTGGCTGTAATTTCTTTAGGTAACTATTAGTAACCAAATATGTATAATGTACTCAAGAATCAGAGACAGATTTATTATTATTATTAAAACACTGAGTCTCGGGCTGGGAATGTGGCTTAGTGGTAGAGTGCTTGCCTCACATGCATGAAGCCCTGGGTTCGATTCCTCAGTACCACATAAATAGAAAAAGCCCAAAGTGACGCTGTGGCTCAAGTAGTAGAGTGCTAGCCTTGAGCACAGAAAGGCTCAGGAACAGCGCCTGGGCCCTGAATTGAAGTCCCAAGTCTGGCAAAACAAAAAACACTGAGTCTCTTTAGAAAATTGTTTACAGGTGATGAGTGAATGATCTGAAAAATTAGCTTTTTTTTTTTAAAGTGTTGTATTTTAGATTGTACATTCTATCTTTTCTGGCAGTAAGTTTAATGGAAGCCTTGCCTTACCTTGTGTCATGTGATCCCATGTAATCTTGTTTTTATCATAGGAGGAAGTGAGAAAGCTCGAGCTCGGCACACAGCAAGAGGAAAACTGCTCCCCAGAGAGAGAATCGACAATCTTATAGACCCAGGGTTGGTACCTACACACGTACTCACTAGAGATGTTCTCTAGTCCATATAGTATATATGTGTGTGTATGTATATATATATATATATATATATATATGCACACACATATACAATATACTTAAACATATATAATACATATTTAAGTGTATTTTTAAATTTTATTATAAAGTTGATGTACTGAGGGTTTACAGTTACTGAGTTAGTTAATGAGTACATTTCTTTTTTAACAGTGTTACCCCCTCCCTCATTTTCTCCTACTTTGCCCCCTTCTGATCCTCCCTTGTCCCAAGTTGTAAAGTTAATTTCCAATATAGCATCTAGTGAATATTGATGTTGAATTGGTTCACCCTTTGTTAGTCCATGTAATATTGAACCCTTCTCTAAGTAAATGATTTTTAAATTGGTTCTTATAAGATTCAAGCCACACATATTTATTGAGTACTCACTATATGTCAGGCACTGTCATACACCAGTGAAGCATCAGTGAACAAAACAAAGAAGCCAGGTACCGGAGCCTATGCCAGTAATCCTAGCTACTTAGTTGGCTGAGATGTAAGTATAGCTGTTTGAAGCCAGACAGGGCAGGAAAGTTCATGATACTCTTATCTCCAATTAATCACCAGAAAAGCTGAAAGTGGAGATATGGCTCAAATGGGTAGAGCACTAGCCTTGGGATAGCACCCAGGCCCTGAGTTCAAGCCCCAAGACTGGCACAAAGAAACAACAAAAACCAAACAGATCACGATCTTTGCTTTACTATAGTTTACATTATAGATGAGAAATAGAAAACAATGACCATCCAAGGTTTTTTTTTTTTTTTGGTTAAGGCACTTGAACTCTGGGCCTAGGCTCTGTCCCTGAACTCTTCAGCTCAAGGCTAGTACCACTTGAGCCACAGTGCTACTTCTGGCTTTTTCTGTTTATGTGGTATTGAGGAATTGAACCCAGGGCATGTGAGGCAACTCATGCATGTGAGGCAAACACTCTACCACCGATCCACCTTCCCAGCCTCATCTTAAGTTTAAAGTATTCAAAAGAAAAAGAAGTGGACCTGGGTGAGAGAGAGGATGAGCACAGCAAGTTACAGTTATACATGGTATGGTTAAGATACACCTCATTGAGAATGTGACGTTTGAACAAAGATTTGGAGGGAGAGAGCCTTGTCAATATTTGAGGGAAACGGTCGTAAGAGGAAGAAACAGCCTGTGCAAAGGCACTGTTGGGGAGTGTTTTGAGTATACTGATAAACTTAAGTGGTAACCGGGAGGCCAATGTGAGTGGAGTAGGTGGAAGAGTATTAGGAGGTGGGGTGAGATTTCACAAATCCCTGTAGGCTGTTGTGAAAATTTCAGTTCTTAACAGAGAAGTGGGAAGATATTGTAGGGTTTTAAACAGGAGACTTAGGATCTTCCTGACTTAAGCAGTTATGTAATTGCATGATGATATTTATTTACAGTAGTGGTCCCATTTATATCCCCTGGTGAACATTGGCCATCCTAATTTTTGTCCATACAGACTGTGATACTTGTGGATAATAAAAATCACCTCACAAAGTTTTGTTTTTCAGATGAAGCCCTGTGGTTGCGTGGTAGGTCCCTGTATTTTAAGAGTTATGGTCTGATTGGGCTGGCTGCTGTGTTGGTTGCTTTGGGCAGCGGGTAGGAGAGCAGTGAGGGCCATTGCACTGATTTCCAGAACACAGACAAGGGATCCAGTGGAGTAGGTGAGACTGGGGTTCTATAGTTTTTCTTAGGACATGCCCCCTCAATCTAACCGAGAGATGAATTTTTTTTTTTTTGCCAGTCCTGGGGCTTGAACTCAGGGCCTGGGCAGAGTCCTTGAGCTTATTTTGTTCAAGGCTAACACTCTGTCACTTGAGTCACAGTACCACTTTTGGCTTTTTCTGTTTATGTGGTACTAAGGAATTGAACCCAGGGCTTCATGCATGCTAGGCAAGTACTCTACCACTGAGCCACGTTCCCAGCTTGAGATAAATCTTTTTAACACCTGTAGCCCATTTTTATGTGCCAGATATTTCTGTGTTTTTATTTAATTAATTTTTTGGGTCCGGGTCATGGTGCCTGAACTCTGGGCCTGGGCACTGTCTCTCAGCTCTTCAACTCAAGGTGAGCGCTCTACCACTTGAGCCACAGCGTCACTTCTGGCTTTTTTTCTTTTTGCTTATGTGGTGCTGAGGAATCGAACCCAGGGCGAGTTGCAAGGCAAGCTCTACCACTGAGCCACCTTCCCAGCCCTATTTTTGTGTTTTTGAAAAAGTGATTTTTTTGTGTGTGTGTGTGTGCGCCAGTACTGGGACTTGAACTCAGTGTTAGGTGCTGTCACTTTACTTTTTTACTCAAAGGTGGTACTCTACCACTTGAATCTCAGCTCTACTTCTGATTTTTTCTTTCTTTTTTTTTGGGTCTGGTTGTGAACTCTGGGCCTGGGCGCTGTCCCTCAGCTCTTCAGCTCAAGGCTAGACTCTACTATTGAGCCACTGTGCCACTTCTGGCTTTTTTCTTTTTGTTTATGTGGTGCTGAGGAATCGAACCCAGTGCCTCATGCGTTCAAGGCAAGAGCTGTACCACTGAGCCACCTTCCCAGCCTCTACTTCTGATTTTTTCTATGTCTGTGTGTGCCAGTCATGGGGCTTGAACTGGAGCCACAGCTCTACTTCTGGCTTTTTTGGTGATTAATTGGAGTTGAGGATCTCTCATGGACTTTCCTGCCCAGGCTGGCTTCAAACCATAATCTTTGATCTCAGTCTTCTGAGTAGCGAGGATTATAGGCATGAGCTACCAGTGTTCAGATACTTCTGACTTTTTGATAGTTAGTTGGAGATAAGGGGTCTTGTGGACTTTTCTGCCAGGCTTCAAACCATGATCCTCAGATCTCAGCCTCCTAAGTAGCTAGTACTACATCTGTGAGCCACTAAGCACCCAGCTAAAGTGATTTTAACTTTTTAATAAGTGATTAGTACTGGGTGCTGGTGGCTTACACCTGTAATTCTAGCTACTCAGAAGGCTGAGATATGGGAATCATGGTTCAAAGCCAGCCCAGGGAGGAAAGTCTGTGAGACACTTATCTCCAGAAGTGGTGCTGTGACTCAAGTGGTAGGACACTCACCTTGAGCTGAAGAGCTCAGAGACCAAAACCAAAACAAAACCAACAAAATGTGATTAGTAATCAAACTGTGGTGTTCTAGAACTTCCTTTATCCTACATAATCTATTTGGCGCATATCTGTAAGAGGTGGAACAATACGGTACAGGTGATTAAGAGCTGGTACCCAGCTTTGCCATTAACTAGCCATGTGACTTTTAACAAGTGGCTTTGTGTGTGTGTGTGTGTGTACACGTGTGTACGTGTGTGCGTGTGTGTGTGCGCGCGCGCATGCGCAAGTATTGGGCTTAAGGTCAGGGCTGCACACACTTGATTGGCTATTTCACTTAAGATTGGTACTCTATCACTTGAGCCACAACTACACTTCTAGCTTTAGTCTGTGTGGGCTTTTAGTTTCCTCATTAGTAAATGAGTTACTATTTTTGAAGCCCTTCCTAGAGATCCTGGTGTGTGGTGCTATGTAAATGTTAGCTATTATTCTCTCCTTATATTAATAAACACAGTTTAAAAATAAGTACCACAGTTTAAAAATAAGACCAAAAGGTCTAGATAGCCTTCTTGTGGACTTTATAATGCAACATGCATAGTGAGTTTAATTTCAATAACATCCTTCTTTTAGGTCTCCCTTTCTGGAATTGTCCCAATTTGCAGGGTACCAGTTGTATGGTAATGAGGAAGTCCCTGCGGGTGGCATCATCACTGGCATTGGTAGAGTATCTGGGTGAGTATTCTACGTGTGCTCAGTAACACAGGGCAGGAGGAAGACTTCCATAAGATGTAGGGATCCAGAACTCATTTTGTACTTTAACATGCAAGTTTTATGTGCCTTACATTATTTAGATCCTGAGATCCTACTTAGATCTATATTAACTTAATTTGTAGAGCTTTAGAGACAAAAATAGAAGGGCAGGAAACATTCATCAGCTGGAAGCCAGTGATTCATACCTGTAATTCTAGCACTCAGGAGACTGAGAAGAAAGGATTTTTATTTCAGGCCAGTCCAGGCAGAAAATACAGGAGACTCATTCTCCAAAATAACCAGCAGAAAGCTGGATTAGAGGTGTGGTCCCAGTGGCTGAGAACAAGCAAGGTGAGGAAGGGAGAGATCCTGAGTTCAAACCCTGGTACCTGCAACAAAACTTCAACAAAAATCTCTAGATTCAGTTCTCTTTGCTACATTGGAGGCTACAGGTCGGGACTTGGCATATAGAAGACTCTCCAGGTTGTCTCTTGTGGTCTTTTGTACATTTGACATTAGAAAACGCTGTGTTAGGGTAGTAGTTCTAACAGTTTTAGCATGACCTGGGAACTGGTGGTCTTTAGATCTGCAAAGTCAGAAGCCTTTTAGGGTGTCAGTCTCTTTCAAGGAACCCAGCATGAGTTTGGATGCCAATAGTTGGAGAAGGAGAATCAGTTTAGACTTATGAATCCAGTTTGCTCGATACTGTTTACTTGCCTATGCTTTTGTTTGATATCACCTTTATTATAAAGGTACTGTGCCAGATACAGTGTAAACACTATTGATACCTGTCCTGATGTCAAAACTGTGTGAAAGGCATTATGAGCTGTAGCTTACTTAGGGTGTTCTTCATAGAAGACTGATGACTCTTAAAAGTATAAATTTGTAAACTTGTTCAAAGTAGTTGTTGTATATTGTAGAAATGATACATGAATCATGGTGTAAACTGGCTATAAGACTGACTGTTAATGAAGTCATTAGATGTGTAGTAGAAAATCAAGGTTCTATTGGTGTCTTAGAATGGTTTTTAATTTTGAAGAGATCTTTCATTCTCCTTCCAATGCAGTTTTTCCAATACCTTACAGAGTTGAATGCATGATTGTTGCCAATGATGCCACTGTCAAGGGAGGCACCTACTATCCAATAACTGTGAAAAAGCATGTCCGGGCACAAGAAATTGCTCTGCAGAACAGGCTCCCCTGCATCTACTTGGGCAAGTCACAAGTTGTATAGTGAACTGTTACTACCTGGAAAAATTCAAGACTGTATGAGAGTATTATCATTTGGAGAGAGAGAGAGAGAGAGAGAGTGTGTGTGTGTGTGTGTGTGTGTGTGTGTGTGTGTTGTTTTTGGTGCTGGGCCTGGTTGTTGTCCTTGAGCTTTTTTGGGGGGAGGAGGGGAGATCAGCTGTGGGGTTTGAACTTGGGGCGTGGGTCCTGACCCTAAGCTCCTTTTGCTCAAGGCTAGTGCTCTACCACTTTGAGCCACTGCTTCATTTCTGGCTTTTGTGTGCATTTTTTTTTTTAATGCATGTGTGGACTTTTTTTGTGTGTGTGCTGGTCCTGGGGTTTGAACTCAGGACCTGGGCTGTCCCTGAATTGCTTTTCTCAAGACTAGAGGTTTACCACTTCAGCCATAGCTTCACATTTTTTTTTTTTTTTGTTGATTAATTGGAAATAAGTCTTACAGCCTTTTCTCCCCGACAGACTTTGAACCTTGATCCTTGGATCTCAGCCTACTAAGTAACTAGGATCACAGGTGTGAACCACTGGAACCCAGCTTAGACTAACTTTACAAAGCTATTTTTTTTTTTGTCAGTTGTGGGGCTTGAACTCGGGGCCTGAGCACTGTCCCTCAGCTCTTCAGCTCAAGGCAAGTGCTCTACCACTTGAGCCACTGCTCTACTTCCGGTTTTTCTGGTGGTTAATTGGAGATAAGAGTCTTATGAACCCTCCTGCCTGGGCTGGTTTGAACCGTGATCCTCAGATCTCAGTCTTCTGAGTAGCTAGGATTACAGGCATGAGCCTCCAGTGCCTGGCACAAAGCTAAGTTTTGTGGACTTAAAGGCCAGGTACTCTTATCAGTCTTGAGTGTTATTTCATATAATTTGACTAAATGTAATTAAAATAAAATTTCGTTGAAAGTAAATTGAAATTAAAGCATATATATAAATCAAGGATATTTCAGAAAGAACCAAAAAGTAGAGCAGTTTAAAATGGGTCTTTTTTAGGTATTGGTTTAGTCTAATGAAACTTCACCACTTATGTTGCATTTATGCAAGCATAAGTAAAGCAGAAAGGCTAGTGTCTGTTCAAATCCTAGTATCGCCAAAAAACAAAAGGGAAAATAGTGAATCTCAGCTGCTTGCAGGTAATATGTGAGCCACTACAGTGTACAGGGGAAGAGTGTTACATGATGTATGTCTCCAGTGAGTTCAGAATTAATTGGAAACAGGAGGTAAAAGCAGTAGTGAAAGAATAGCTAACAATTTTAAACGTTGTGTATACATAGAATAGGTGCTGAACTATGTGCTTTATATCTGTTGTTTTAAGTTTTCCTGATAACATCTACATAGGTTAGCTACTCTATATTTTGTGGGCAAGGAACTGAGGCAGAGAATGGCCAGAAGTTATACTATAGTCATACTCCTGTGAAGTGCAATTTTGAATTTGACAGGCATTCTTTTTCCTTTTTTCCTTCTTAAAAGGAATCCTTCCTTTTCCTTCTCCCTCCCTCCCTCCCTCCCTCCCTCCCT